CTCAAGCTGTTGCCCTGGGTAGAATACCGTGGCATCACAGCTTACAGCAACCTCAAACTTTGGGCTTAAGCGATTCTCTTGCCTCAGTCTCCCAAGTAGTGGGGACTACAGGCACCCACCACAAGGCCTGGCTATTTTGTTGTTGTTGTTGCAATTGTCATTGTTGTTTTAGCTGGCCCAGGCTGGGTTCAAACCCACCAGCCTTGGTGTATGTGGCCAGCGCCCTACTCACTGAGCTATGGGCAACACCCATAAAACAGTTAATTTTTTGTTATTCTTCTTTATATGGAACATTGGCTATAGTGTATGTGTTTTTGAATACTAGAAAAGATTTCAGGTGCTTACTTTCTGGGTTAATTCTTCTGCAGCATAATGGATATACTAATGGGTTTGTTTTTTTTTTATATATACATTCTAGATTTAACAAATTTGAGTTTATAGAAAACATCATTGAAATGAAATTACTGAATACTAGTCTCTCAAGGGAATAATTTTGGCTTTAAAATTAAATATTGCTTTACTCTCACTCAAATAGAGTTTATATTTAGTTGAGCAATGTTAAACTCCTCAAATTATCTGACATAGACATTTGTATAATTTTAAAATTGATTTAAGATTTGTGTAGTCAATTTAAGGAAGTCACATGAAGATAAGACTTATTCCTTCATTTAACAAGTATTTATGGTTTCTATCTTTTTCATAAATAATATACTTTACCTCTTTAGGCTGTTTCTTAGCAGTATTTCAGAATTTTAATCAGCTTTGCCTTATATGTGTCTTGACTATATCTCAGAGACTTTTAAAGAATTTTCTCTATGTTTTAGGTTGGATAAAATAATTGGGTAGGTGTCATATTTTCGCAGAAACCATCCAATGTCCACAGCTTGGCTTTTAGTTTTCCATAGACTTAATACCATGCTTTAGAATTTTTTTTTTATTCAAACACTGTAAATGACATTACAAAATGTTTTGGTTTACTTATATATCATATGTAAATGTATCTATAAACTACATAATATAAATCACAGTAATTTTGCTAGCTATAGTTTGGTCACCATATTTTTGTGACAACTCAGTTTTTACATACTTTGAAAATTTATGGGCTTGGGTGGCACCTGTGGCTCAGTGGGTGGAGTGCCGGCCCCATGTATCGAGGGTGGCAGGTTTAAGCCCGGCCCAGCCAAACTGCACTGAAAAAATAGCTGAGGCAGGAGAATCGCCTAAGCCCAGGAGTTGGAGGTTGCTCTACCCAGGGAGATAAAGTGAGACTCTGTCTCTACAAAAAAAAACAAAACTACGGGCTCGGCACCTGTAGCTCAGCAGCTAGAGCACCTGCCACATACACCACGGCTGGCAGGTTCAAACCTGACCCAGGGCCTGCCAAACAACAAAGACAACTACAACAACAACAAAAATAGCCAGGTGTTGTGCCAGGTGCCTGTGGTCCCAGCTACTTGGGAGGCTGAGGAAAGAGAATCACTTAAGCTCAAGAGTTTGAGGTAGCTGTGAGCTGTGATGCCACAGCACTCTACTGAGGGTGACATATTGAAACTCTGTCTTAAAAATAATAATAATAATAATAAAAACTTATGTACCAGGCTCAGTTCCTGTGGCTCAGGGCAAAGGTGCCAGCCACATACACCTAAGGTGGCAGGTTTGAATCCAGCCCAGGCCCGCCAAAACAACAATGATGGCTGCAACCAAAAAATAGCTGGGCGTTGTGATGGGCGCCTGTGGCCCCAGCTACTTAGGAGGCTGAGGCAGGAGACTGGCTTGAGCCCAGGAGTTGGAGGTTGCTGTGAGCTGTGATACCACGGCACTCTGCCCAGGGAGATAGCTTGAGGCTCTGTCTCAAAAAAAAAAAAAAAATTATGTACCAGAAATTTAAAATCTGGAATCTCTTTACATACATGTAATTATTCTATCCATTCTCTTTATCCAGAGTTATAACCATTATTTGCTTTCTTTTCCTATAGACTATTTGGTTGTCACTCTAAAACATATATAGAAAGATCTACGTATTCTCTGCCCTTTTAATATAGTAGAGCAAGAAAACCAGAAAATATCATAAAGTAGCTGGATAATTTGTAAAAAGATCATTTTTTCTAAAATTACATTTATTAAACAAGGGTGAATACAAGTACAGGGTACCACGTTCCTGGGTGCCATGTAGAATAAAGTATAGTTGAATCTAAACCATAATATACATTAGAATTAATTCTAGATGGATTACAAATGTAAATATAAAAAGTAAAACCATAAAGTTCTAAGACAGTGTTCTCAACCTGTGGGTTGTGACCCCTTTGGGGGGGTCTCCTGCATATCAGATATTTACATTATGATTCATAACTGTAGCAAAATTAGAGTTATGAAGTAACAATGAAAATAATTTTATGGTTAGGGGTCACCACAACATGAGGAACTGTATTAAAGGGTTGCCCCATTAGGAAGGTTGAAAACCACCATAAGAAAAATTATGAGAGGTTCGGCGCCTGTGGCTCAAGTGGCTAAGGCGCCAGCCACATACACCTAAGGTGG